TTCCGCTCGAATCAAAACATAAAGAGAATACTACTGAAAAGGTGCTTTTCAATTAAAAAAAATTTGCTATTTAAAGATCAAATTGCGTTGTAAGAAATGAATATTGCCTTTTAAATGTCATATTCTAATTTCAGTTTTTTACATATTAGAAATTACTTACAGGGCAAAATGGTTAGCACTAACACGCAGTCAAATCAGTCTGAGATGCAGGAAGAATGCACGAGAAGTCTCAACTCCGAGAAGGCTACTGAAAAAAAACAGTTTCAGTGTCCTGTTTGTGAGAGAGAATTTCCGTACAAAAGTTACATGGATAGACATTTAATACTTCACACTGGAGTGAAGCCTTATCAGTGCAGTATTTGTGCAAAAAAATTTTCTAGAATAGAAAATATGCGAAGCCATGAAAAAATCCATTCGGGGGAAAAATCTTACCAATGCTTTGTGTGCAGTAAAAATTTCGCTCGGCCAAATTATCTAAATTCTCATTTAAGAAGTCACACAGGAGATGAGTCGCATCAGTGCAGTATTTGTGCAGAGATGTTTTTTGAATTGGGCGATTTGAGAAGGCACGAAAAAATCCATTCGGAGGAAAAATCTTACCAATGCCATGTGTGTAGTAAGAATTTCACTCGGTCAAGCAGTTTGAAATGTCATTTAAGAAGACATGCAGGAGATAAGCCGCATCAGTGCAGTATTTGTACAAAGATGTTTTCTGAATTGGGTACTTTGAGAAGGCACGAAAAAATCCATTCGGAGGAAAAACCTTACAAATGCCATGTGTGTAGTAAGAATTTCACTCGGTCAAACTGCCTGATCATTCATTTAAGAAGGCATACAGGAGAAAAGCCTTATCAATGCAGTATTTGTGCACAGAATTTCTCTATGATAGGCACTTTGAGAAGGCACGAAAACACTCATTCGGGGGAAAGACCTTACCAGTGTCGAGTTTGCAACAAAAATTTTTCGCGATCATCCAGTTTGAAGATTCATGCAAGGATTCATACATTAGAAAAGTCTCACCATTCTAGTGTTTGCGCAAAGAAATTGTCATCAGCATGCACTACGAATAGGCAAAAAAAAACTCATTCGGTGCGAAAATTTCACCGGTGCAATGTGTGCAACAAAGATTTTTCAAAGTTATCTAATTTGAAGGTTCATGAAAGAACTCATGCAGGAGAAAAGCCTTATCAGTGCAGTATTTGCGCAAAGATGTTTTCTGTAAATAGCAATCTTAGAAGGCACGAAAAAACTCACACACAGGGAA